TTGTTGGGGAAAATAAATTCACTACTTGGTATGCCTTGGTTAGTGCTAGTTAGAATATTAGACTTGGCTCTACACTATTTAGGCCATGTCTAATAACCTGATGACATGCTACTACCTAACAATGCGTCGTCTATGTCAGGTAAAACGAGATAATGACTTGTCATAACCAAGTCAGATATTGCCAATACGTCATCTATCTCAGGTAAACGAGGTCTTAACTTGCCTTTACCTGGCAATTCATCATTTACGACAGGTAAAGCGAGGTCATAACTTGCCTTTACCTGGCAATACATCATCTATGTCAGGTAAAGCGAGGTCATGGCTTGCCTTTACCTGACGATNNATCATCTACCACANGTAGAANGANGTCATAACTTGCTTATACCTGACAATACATCGTCTACGTCAGGTAAACCAAAGTAATAACTTACTGATACCTGACGAGGGATTGTCTACGCAAGATAAAGTCATGTAATAACCTGCTAATACCTGACTACACGTCATCCACGACATGCTAAACGAGGTAATAACCTGTTAATACCTAGCAATACATCATGTATGTCAAATAAAATGAAGAAATGACTTGTCAGTAACGACTAAGGCATCGTTACCACGTTGTCATCAAGTCGATAACGTCGTTACGACGTCGTTACAAGGTTAGTTAACCTTATTTGATGTAAAATAATACGTGACTTTTAAGATAGACTTGTAGAGATTTCACAATATCAGGTATTATTAGGTTTGTCATTATCTAGACCTCATAATATGATTCAAGTATATCAAGAATCCCGATTGTTAAGGAGATAAGCTTGCACGTCAAGTCGAAGCCTAGTCCAAAATGGATTTGAGGAAGTCCTATATATAGGGGGACATTGAGTAGAGAAGGGGATCATAAGAAAAACGCAGAGAACACCCTAAGAGCTACATCTTCACAGCATCCCTAAGATAGCAACCGGAGATCTAGTCTTGTTTTTTGCATCCACCGAAGTTCTTTATAAGGCTTTAGACCTCTAGATGTTGTAAGACTATTCGGCTACAAGCCTACTTCGTTGATTAATAAAACTATACCTCTCTTTACCATTTCGTAGATCTGTGTACTTGCGGACCTGGTTAAATTTTGCCGAAACAGTCCTCACACTCGTACTCGCCGTAGCCACACTCACGGATCCCTCCTGATGCGCTGCAAAGCCGCCACCTGCTCCTCCGAGGAATCCTGGGCCAAACTCGCGGCAACAGACTCACCCAACTTCGCCTGCCCGCGCCCTCCACGACTACCACGGCTTCCATCACTAGCAACTCTAGCCAACACTCTCTGCCATACCCAACACTGA